GGGAGGATGGGTTAGCCTGGTGATGGGTATTAAAGAGGGCACATACTGCATGGAGTACTGGGTGTTATATGAAAACAGTGAATCGTGGAACACTACATCAAAAACTAATGATGTAATGTATGGTGATTAACATAACAATAAAAAATTTTAAAAAAAGAATTCCTCATATCAGTGAGGTCATATGATACATGTCTTTCTCTGATTGACTTATTTTACGAAGCGCTTCACTGCAGTGGCCTTACCACGGTACACAGGAGATGCCACTGTTATCATAAACATTTTCCTTTCATTAAAGAGATTATTTTCTATGGGCACCTGCCACAAATGTTAGATTTCAGAAATGTTCCCTAGAGTAGAGTAGGTTCCCATCGTACAGCTATGGAAATAATAATCCTGTCAAGATGAAAACAAAAACAACTGTGAAGCTCCACTTACCACTGTCATCATGACCACTGGCTTCTGGGGTGCCTTGCCTCTGGTCCTCTTCAGGTGCCTCAGGGTAAATGACAGCAGTGTCTTGTTGTTGCAGGAACTCTTCAACATTAGGATCATGGTTTTGTTCATTTTCTGCATCTGAGTCACATTCATCATCTTTTACTAAAAGAAATGCATACTTTATAGAAAGCAGTTTCACCACCAAGTTGTTACAAAGTTTTGCTAAATAAGAAATTATTTACCTTAAGAGAATATACACTATTGTTCTTGCATTTGTAGGAAATATTTACCGAAAATTAAAAACAAAATTCACTCATTCTGTTGTCCACTATTAAGAAGTCCTTTAGAAAGCATTATAAAAGTCTTGAAATTTTCACGATATCCCTTTTAAACTTTAGAGTGTACTTCTAGTCTATGTGACTGATAAACAAGACACAGAAAAGGTAATATAGTTGACTGAACTCTTAATTTCTCAATCAAGGATAAAGCAAGGAAAAAAAGGAGAAAACCTTAGTTCTCAAACCTTAGTCCCTCCTAGCAACCTACTGGGTATTTTAGAGTTGTAGCTTAAATCTGAATCGTGTTCAATTTATTTTTTTTTAAGATTTTATTTATTTATTTGACAGAGAGAGAGAGACAGCGAGAGAGGGAACACAAGCAGGGGGAGTGGGAGGGGGAGAAGCAGGCTCCCCGCCGAGCAGGGAACCCGACGTGGGGCTCGATCCCAGGACCCTGGGATCATGACCTGAGCCGAAGGCAGACGCTTAACGACTGAGCCACCCAGGCGCCCCGAATCATGCTCAATTTATATCACTTTCAAGTGCAGTTATGTGACTTCTTAAAAACAGTGTCAATAATTATCTATAGTTGGAAAAATTTCTAGTAAGAGTCAGGAGTATCAAATCATCTCCTCTATATTCATATATAAACAAGGATATAAACAAGGCTACTCTTCCTTTAATTCTGCTTCAATAAATGTTTAACAGTGGGCTTAGGGCAGAGGCATTTTTTCCTTCAGTTAGAAAGGTTCAAGAGATAATGGAAGGCTTTCACTTTGAGAAGGTGACCCAGAGTGCTGCTGAGTTTCTAAAGCAGTACTGCTGCACCATGGTTTCCCTCCCATTTCCTCCACTGGCTCCAGAGGACAGTGTCTCCTCCATGCTGGTGGTAACTGTGATGGGTTGTATGGCTCCCAGGTGTCTCAGGGCTGACTTCTTTATACACTTCAGGCTGAACTGTCAGTTCTAAATTTGTAAAACAGCATTTCTCAGCAGACTAAAATTGGGCCAAATTAAAATGCTGAGGTGTGAGCATGTTTTTGTGTAACAGTTATTGAAACAATCTTGCTAAATCTCCTGCACAGTGGTAGTAAGTGAACTCCTCAGGGCAGCTGCTGTTTAAAATCTTAAAGCCAATGACATTATAGTAATGGTGACCCACCATTTTCCCCTCCTTTTTAATACAGCCAATAGCTATCAATTATTTAGCAATGGGTTACTGGATCCAGGTGAGTGAAGACTCTTTAAGAGGAAAGCTGGTACTGTGGGTTTTAAGGGAGTCTGTTTCCAAATCCTCAACTTCTGTGTATATTTTTTCTTAGAATCTGGAAGGTTCTCTCTACTCTCCCCTTTCCACAGTATCCTTTGCTCAAACTTAAAAGGAAGAAGGGAAGGGGTGCCTGGGTGGTTCAGTGGGTTAAGCATCTGACTCTTGATTTCAGCTCAGGTCATGACCTCAAAGTTGTGAGATTATGCCCTGCATCAGGCTCTGTGCTCAGCTGGGAGTCGCTTGTCCCTCTCCCTCTGCTTCCCCTACCCCACCCCTGTTCATGCTGGTGTTGTTTCTCTCTCAAATAAATAAATGAAATCTTTAAAAAAAAGGAAGAAGAGCGGTGCCTGGGTGGCTCAGTCGGTTAAGTGTCTGCCTTCTGCTCATCATGATCTCAGGGTCCTGGGATCAAGCCCCCCTTGGGCTTTCTGCTCAGTGAGGGGTCTACTTCTCCCTCTCCCTCTGCCCTGCCCCCCACCCCTGCTCTCTCTCTCAAATAAATAAATAAAATCTTAAAAAAAAAAAGGAAGAAGAAAAAAGCCATATCTCAGTACATTAATATGGTGCATTGCCTTGGAGTGTAAAAACCTCCAGGTTGCCAAAGGAAAAAATTCAAAATACTGATTGAGGAAAACTTTCTTTTCTTTCTTTCTTTCTTTTTTTTCCCCCTTTATTTTTAAAGATTTATTTATTTATTTATTTGAGAGCAAGAGCGAGAAGGAGCAGGGGGAGGGGCAGAGGGAGAAGCAGACTTCCTGCACAGAGGGGAGGGGAGTGCTCCATCCAAGGATTCCAGGATCATGACCTGAGCTGAAGGCTTAAGGGACTGAGCCACCCAGGCACCCTGGGAAAACTTTCTTACTGATTAATCAGGACAACCTAAAACCACCACAGGTCTTCCCATTTTTCCTGTTTACATGGATTTCTATCAGGTGTAAAGCATGGCAATTTTCTGAAATGGGGATATTTTGGCTCTAGTTAGGAAGCTCTGAAATCAGCTATATAATAATATGGCCAGAGGGAGTGAGAGTAGTTTTCCTTTAATGATCTCATCTGTTCCATTCCCTAACTATTATTAAAAATTTCATTGCTCTTCAGGAACCTGGTCAGAGTATTCTCAAAAATCATTCCTACAATCTGTCATTAGCTGGAAAAATAAGCATTTTTGAATAGCTAAAGCAGTCCAAGTCAGTGTGACTGACTCTTTTCAATGTAACTTCAAAATTTCAAGTTAAACTAGATAAAACTCATGAGTGAAATTTATATTTTATGTGATTTATTATCGATTCCATATAGATTACAAGATGCTTAAAATATTTTTATCAAATTATATTTATTTCTATTAAAGTCTTCACTTATAAAAAATTTATAGTTTTCTACATCCTATTAAGTATGTGTGTATATATGTGTGTATATAGGCTAGATGCTAGAGTAATGAGTTTTTAAATAGTATACATTTTGCAGCATTATATAGTCTGTATTTTATACATGAACCTTGCATCTTCAATAAGTTAGAAGTTTACCTATGTACTGACTGGTTCTAAATGTACTACTTATTTGGAGACAAAAATTTTTATAACTAAAAAAAATTATATTAGATATAAATAATCTTCATCTCACTATTGAATAATCTATTTTTTTAAAAAATTATTAGTTTTTAATTTTAATTCCAGTCTAGTTAATAAATAGCATAATATTAGTTTCAGGTGTACAATATAGTGATTCAACAATTCTATACAACACCTGGTGCTCATCACAACAAGTGCCCTCCTTAATCCCCTTCACCTATTTAACCCATCCCTCCACCCATCTCCCTTCTGGTAACCATCAGTTTGTTCTCTATAGTTAAGTGAATAATCTATTTTTTTTAAAGATACATCTATTTACACTTTGTATATTCCTCATTATTTATAATTTATATATTTTTCATAAAGGAAATTTTTACAAAATCTCTCAAATTGTGTATTGACAAAATTATTTGAATTAGAAAAATGAAAATACACATTTTTCCTTGACAGAAAGTCTGATAAGGCTGATTGGTATAACAGTAATACCTGGCTTTGCTAGTTAGGTAATTAGGTACAAAATTTCCAGAAACTGAATGAACTAAGTTTGTAGCTCTAAGGCATTAATGAGAATATTATTATCTCATGTGGTAAGATAAAAGGATTTTTACACAAAATGTATTGGCAAAAGGTACTGAAATTAACAATATTTCAATTTTCCTAACCATTTCTGAATATATTAATCAAGGTGCCTCTAAGTGAGAGGAAGAAATAACAAAGGTCAAGAACAGGTAGCATAAGTACTTCGAGAAGTGTTGGCAAAGCTGTTTTGGTGTATGTCCCAGAAAATCAGGGAGTGAAAGATTCTGTGACTGGAAGAGTCTAGTGAAGGAATCTTGAGCAAATTAGACAGCTTTGAATTTTTGCTTTCAACAGAATTGAAGAAGCATTTAATACAACTGTCAGTTAACAGGACATTAAAAGTATTTTTATTGATATATAACTGCACATCATTCTAAGGATGTATAAAGAATGAAAGTAAATCAGTTATCACAAAAATGTATTTCACCTTTTTATTTATGAGAATAAGGTTATCTGAGTGCTAAACAAAACAAGAAACAGAATTAATCCTGAACATTTTTTCTTCTAGAAATAAGGAACATTGGGGAACTTGGGGGGGGCTCAGTCGGTTAAGCGGCTGCCTTTGGCTCGGGTCATGATCTCAGGGTCCTGGGATTGAGTCCCGCATCGGGCTCCCTGCTCAGCGGGGAGTCTGCTTCTCCCTCTGCTTCTCCCCTCCCTTGCTCATGCTCTCTCTCAAATAAATAAATAAAATCTTAAAAAAAGGAGAAATAAGTAACATTAAACTATTGATAAATGAACTAACTGAAGAATACTTCAGCTCCTTCAATCTCATTTCCAGTAACAATTTTTTGGTAATAATTATGTTAAAATTTGTAATGTATTTATGTTGTGGTCAACTGTGTAGTACTGATAATTATAAAGCAAAATTTCTCGTCTAAAGACAGATAAACTTACATATTTAAATAGTAGAGAGATGAGCAAATACATAGAAACATAATAATTTGGCTTTCTTTAGATATGACAAAACTCAGAGCTGACTGTGAAATATAAAATTACTTTGGACTACAGGTCTATATGACCATAACCATTTATCGAAGTGTAGAATTATAGGGTTATAATCACAAATTAGAGAGAGAGGCAAACATTTACTATAAAGATTAAAAATTATTTAGCTATATTTTTCCACTAGAATCATGACCTGAGCCACTCTCATGTGTGAAATCCATTTGACGGTATTTCTGATCAGCTGTCCTCAGGCTTCTTCCTAACTTTGTCTTCCATTTTTCAAACTTTGTAAAACTATTAACTATATAAACAAAAAAGGGATGCTCAGAAGGAACAAAGGATGTTTTGGGTGAATTTTTCACTCTCTGAATACTAAGCTGAGAGTACAGTTCTCTTAACTTCATGAATTGCAAAAGGAAGTCAGCTGAAGAAAGGACCTGACAAAGTTCTGAACTAATGATCGTGACCTTTGTACAATGTTTTTGTTTACTTTGTCAGCACATTATTCCCTAGAAGTCAAGGAAGTAACAGAAGCAAAGGCAAAACATAATTTTTAAGTTTAAATGCTCAAAAGCCTCAACCGTCCAATTTCTATCCTTCTTCCCTTAAAACTACACTTATCAGGGCTTTATTAAATGTTTGCTTACTCCTAACTCCCCATGTTCCGGCAGGGAAATAATGCAGCAGGGATCATCTTCCACTGGGTGGGGAGACCTCACATTTCAGCAACAATTTAAGTTAATACAAGGTTACTTTACCTTCCAGATGTGATTATTTTGGGGAGGGGGTGGTTAAGGGAATTTATATACTACTCAGTATTAAATGAAAGAATTTATTTTTGTAGTGAAGAGCAAAGCATGAGGTAAAATACTGACACTTGGAATTGTGAATTTTTTTTTGATAGCATTTTGCCTAAAAGGGCAAATGATCTTCTGTAACTCTGGTAATGTAAAGCATCTAACTTTAACATTAGGTGAAAGAGTAATAAGCAGCATTCTTTCATGTTCATTAAGACTATTTTAACTAATAATACCGAGTTTAAATATTTTATATAATGTGTAAGTTAGCATGACAAATATTTGATAACAACATATTTGAATACATTATTCATTCAAGTTAAACACAACCAAGTTAAAGGCAGAATATAAAATCTTAGGCAGCAGGTGCCATAAATCATCACATATCCCATTATTATTTAATTAATTTGGAATGGATCTTTAATAACAGCATGAAGATTTACTCTTTGTTTTACAGAACTGACTGACAAGTATGGAAGTGCCTGTTTGTATTATAGATGAAAATCTATTTTGACTTATTACTATGAAATATACTCATCTTACATAATGAAAGATAATTTATAGGGCTCTATGGAATATTCCTAAAATGCACTGCAGAGAAAAGAAAAAACTAGAAGTGTTAAACCAAAAAAGAGAAGAAAAAACAAAATTTAATTAAAATGGTATGATAGAAATTTCTAATTTATGATTGAATAGACAAAATACAACTATACTACTTTGAAGTACAGTATTTTGAGGAAATGTTTTAATAACTTGGAATTCATCTTTGAAATTTTCATTCTTAGAGTTCTTGCTGACTTATAGGACACAATAATAAGTGCCTGGTGTTATCATACATAAGATCTTGATTTAAGTTTTCCACTTACTCTTTTGCTTCTTAAATCTGATTTGAATCCATTATTAAGGAATAGCATTAAGTCTCAGGGAGTATGTACTTTTAGTCACATAGAAACAAATTTTCTTGTTTACTATAATTTAACTTCATCTTAACCTTTTTCTAAATCACAGAAATTACAAGAAAAAATTTTGATTCTCTTGTTTGCTGTGACATGTTCACTCAGCTCATCAATATTCATGATTCTCATCTGGTTTATAGATAACTCATGATATTTGCTTATTCTTTTCCCTTCTGCTTTCTGTCTTGTGGGCAACTCAATGCAGATCCTGGTAACTAATAATGAAACTCAAAATAGTTAAATCTGTATTTCTATAGCTTTGGTAAAAAATGTGATATAAATTCAAATCATCATTTAAATACTTATTTTCTGGATTATATGTAGATTGTTCTTGTCATCCTTATAGAATGGAAAATATGCTGTGTTAGATGAATCTGCAAATTTACACTGTATTTAAAGAATATAAACTTCTAACTTTTCATATAGTGCCCTATATGCCTACATACTGAAACACTGAAGAAGGTCAAGATAAAAGAGGAGGAAACAGACTAAATTCACGACTCACAAATGCAAAAACCAGTGACACAAAAAGACCTTGTTCAAAGGCTACAGTATCAAAGAAATTGACGAGCACGTACCTGCACATCCCGCTTCATCTGCCTGAGCTTCAGGCCCCAGGATTTCTTGTCCTTCCTTTCCTGCTAAAATCAAAGAACAAAGGATTAAAATAGATCCATGTGGCACAAACATCTTTAACATCTAGAAATCTGAAGAGGAACTTTTAGATTATATTTAATTTGGATTTTTTTCCCTTTTAGAAGTAATGTGTCCTTGAAAAGTGAACTTTTTAGAAGAGATTAAACAGATAGTTTTACCAAACTCACAAACATATCTTAGAGAAGCAAAATTAGTCAAGATTTAGATATAATCCTGGAATTATACATATAACTATACACATACTGGGATTTTAGTGTTTTTTTGGGAGAGGCGTTCTACCTGTAGGTAGCATGATTCCTTTCTTTTTTTATTTCTTCTGCAAAGTACAAGTTCCTACATTTTAGGCACTGTGCTAGATGATTGATAAACTTATTTCCTTTAACCTTCATAACTACCTATAAGTAAAAAAAAAAAAAAAAAAAAGACAACCAAAACTTGAGGCTTGAAGAGGTTAAATAGCCCAAGGACACTCTGCTTTTAGGTGGTAGAAGTGGAATCTGAATTCAGGTCTAAGTGGTTGTAAAACCTACTTCCCACTCCACCCTTGCCTGTATGACCAGAGGACCAGCAGCTAACTAGAGGAAGACTGTGCTAAACTTCACTATGTCCAGAGTAAACACCTAGGGCACTATACTTGCTCTTTCACTCTATTCATTATTCTAACTACTGATAAATCATAGTAATAACAGTACTGGTAAACATTTTTAGATGTCAGTTGTCCTCCTTTGCCACCTTATAGTTAGTTGACTGTAGTATTCTACACAGAATAAGATCAGAGTAAATAGGTATATTATTTTAGCAAGCAGAAAGTATGTTTTGTATATTCAGGTACATTTTATTTATTATAAGTTTATTAAGGACATGTACATATATAAAAACATGAAGGAGTTAAAAACTGCTTTTAAAAAAACTAGCAGCAGAGAATACATAATTATGATCAGAATACTTATAAAGTCATGTTAAAACATCACATCATGTAGTTAATCTGCACCCCAATCAAATCCCATTGAATATGTCAGTCAAAAATCTTGATTTGGATTTCCCCTAAGTTTGATAATTGAATTGAGAAATAGAACACTAATCAAGTAAAATCTTTGCTCATACTAAATCATGTATTTCTGTAAGTGCCTTGGATTATCAGGTGGATTTATTCAGCAGATTTTCTTTACTCATTAACTTTTATATTATTAAAGATCATTAAAGATGATCACTATGTGAAAATAGTTAAAATATGCATAAACTTCTTTAGATCAGCATGGAAAACATTGTCTAAAGTAGATAATAAAAAGATTAATGTCTGATAAATAATTCTCATTTTATATTTGCCATCAGCAAAATGACAATTAAAAAACCTGTGCTAAAGTATTTATAATATAGTAGGACAAACACCAGTGTTGGCTAAGTGTTTGCAATTCTCTAACATCTTTTTTCCTCTCTGAAGCATCTACTTAAACTAAAATAATAAACAGTGTGACAGTTGGATAGGATAGTAATATAGTTATTTATTGTTAATCGATCTATGTTCTTTATTTCTCCTGAAATGAGAATTAAGACAGCCAGAGTTACTTACTAAGATGAAAGATGACAGTGATACTAAAAGTTAAAATGATATTTTGGACAATACTAATTTTACTACTTATAGTTATTATAGCTAATTAAAAATCTGTCTGCAATTCAATTAAATGATTTCTTCATTTCTGCTCAGGATAAAATCTAGTCTCCTTAGATGAGCATTTAACATACTTCAGAATTTGGTCTCAGACTTCTTTACTGCGATTTAAAGACTGGAAGTCTCCATTCTTTCCCTCATCACTGGGTTTGGAACTTTGGTTGAACAACTAAAATCATATTGCCTAACAAAAATAGAAAATATCCTAATGCTGGTCTGCAGCATGAACACACCTCTTTCACTATGGAGTGCTGCCAGGAACAGGCTCCTTCCTGCTTCATTCATGGACCAGCATGAGGGTGTACTGGAACAGCTAAATACTATTCAAGCAGCCTTCACCCTCATGTGCTCTGATCCTACTTAGAGCTTAGAAAATACAAGGGTGGCAAAGTAACAGAATCTCCTTGTGCATAAGATTTTCTCTCTTGTAAGACTTACTAATGTCAACACACTGTGATTGACTAACCTAAATGCAACCTAGAAAGGTAAACTGGAATATTTCTAAGGCTTTTGCTTTTATTCTAAATTCCAAAGAAAATATGTAAATGAGGAAAAATTCTCAAGTAAAAGACTTTGTTTTTTCAAATACTGGCAAAATATAGCTGAAAAATAAGTCATGAAATACTACTCAGCAATAAAAAGGGACAATTTATTGATATATCCAACACTTCAGATGAATCTCTCAAGAAATTTGGAAAGTGAAAGAAGTCAATCCAAAAAATTACACACTGTATGATTCTGTTTATATAACATTCTTGAAATAACAAAATTATAAAAATGGAGAAGAGATGTGTGGTTGTGAGGGATTAGGGTTGGGGCGGAGGGGAGGGTGGGCATATAAAAGGCAAGGAGGGAGCTTAGTGGTGATGGAATTGTTCTGTATCTTGTCTATATCAATGTTGATATTCTGGTTGTGATACTATACTACAGTTTTGCAAGACGTTACCAATGGGGAAAACAGAGTAAAGGGTATACAACAGGATCTCTGAATTATTTGTGAATCTGGAACTATCTGTGAATTATTTGCAAATCTATATCTCAAAATTTAAAGTTTAATTGAAAAATAAGTCAATGGCTAATATCACAAATTTAGATTAAAAGAGATAGCACTTGTTTATTTTGCCATAAGATGTAATTTCTAGTAAGTAAAAGCAAGAATGGCAAATGCAATTCATGTTTTTTAAAAAATATATAAATATTAATAGTTCCAACAAAATATAACAATTCCTCCATTTTGCTCCTACTAAAATTAGCTGATTGATTCTAATCTTATTGATTTTTTTATTTTATTATGTTATGTTAATCACCATATATTACCATCATTAGTTTTTGATGTAATGTTCCATGATTCATTGTTTGCGTGTAATACCCAGTGCTGCAATCAATATGTGCCCTCTTTAATACCCATCACCAGGCTAACCCAACCCCC